GTGGTTCAGCCCTGGCAAGCGCCTCTGTTGCCTTCAGTCGTCAGAGTAGAAGGGCCTCTGTTAAAACGACTTAAAGGATTTCACCTAGGGATTTTTTTTTATGTTTCTCTAAGAAAGACTAATAACTAGTTACTGAAGTGCTAGACAGAAACAAGCTTTCTATTTCTCACCCCAAACTGTATGAATCAGCAGTGTCTAAGTGAAACCTAAGTCAAATGCTAGCAATTTACTAATTGGGTGTGATGTGCATTTAATGCCCTTATTTGAAGTACGAATAGTCTGCCCTGATAGAAGCTTTATGACCTATGAGACAGTGGGTATGGAGCAGTGAAAGCGGCGTTGTGTTTAATCAGAACCGACTTAGGAACTGTGGGGAATGTGGCCACGGGAAATGATTGGAAGCTCTGAGTCACTTTCTTTTCTGGACTCGTGTGAAGGTTGTGTTTGGTGTGATCACATGTTCCATTTGACTAAGCAGTACTCGGTTTATTCATAGTGAGGTTGGTAAAATAAACAAATAACCCAGTTCAAAGAGAATTTCACATCATCACTCACCATTTTTTCTGTTTAAGAAGTAGAGGGTTTTCAGATACATTGTTTTTAAAAAGTGGGGGGAAGCTAAGGAAGTTTTTGGAGGCAGTAATAAAGAGCAGGGCACCCTGCTACGCTTCTGTAATCGATCCCTGAGGGGACTGGGAGGAGGGATGCAAGGTCAAGGGTGGCCTCACAGTGAGACCCTGTTCAGATGGCACCAAGGACAACCTAGGAATGAGGAAGTTGACAAGGGCAAAAGAGATTTAAGGCTGTTTCCGATTTCTGGCACAAAGGATGCCCTGTCCTGCAGGTATTTTAGCAGGTTTTGATAATGATGTGCCATTTTTACATCCAGGTAGTACATGAATCATTATTTTGTTAGACATTGGAGGTGTGGGAGGACAGATCAGTGTAAGCTTGAGGACTGTTGTTCCAATCCCCAGTCGGTGTGATGGCCTGCACATGCCCTGCTTCGAAGGAGGTGGAGGCAGGGGCATGGTAGCTAGTCAGATTAGCAATTGAAGAAGACACTTGGAGTCACTCTCGGGCCTAGACACACACAGACACACACACACACGCCAAAATTTTTCCTGTGGAAGGCATTGGTTTGCTATTATTTAGCACAGCATATGGAAATTCATGTAATGTAAGCCATTTGCAAGCTGGGTGAAAGGCACATTATATTTTTAAATATTTATGTTAAATATTTAAATATGTATGTGTGTGAGCCTGAGTGTGTAGCTGTGCACCGTGTGAATGCAGGAGTCATACAGGGCAGAAGAGGCATCTGAGCCCTGAAACTGGAGTCATGGTGGTTACCAGGCTCCGCATGGGTTCTGGAAGTTGAATCAAGTCCTCTGCAAGAATGGTAAATGCTCCTAACTTTTGAGCTATCTTTTCAGACCCACACTATTTCTTAAAAAGTTTTTGTTAGTTTTTTAACTTGTTTCTCCCAGTTAGCTTAAGCAATAATTTATAAATAATTAAGAAAGTAAGGAAAAAAATATATATTTCCCCCATTGGAAGTTAAAAGTTTTATGTCATTGACGAAGTGGCAGCTTGTATTAAACTAAAACTAAGAAATCAGTATTAGCTTGATGGTCTTTGTGTGTGTGTGTGTGTGTGTGTGTGTGTGTGTGTGTGTTCATAGAATGTTCTCTAACTTCAAAGACAGGAGTTTTTATAGAAAAACAAGTAACAAAGCTTTGCCCACTCTGTTTTCCTAGATCTCTTGTCAGCTCACTCTCAACAGGATGTTGTATTTATGTTGGTTCTGTTCCTTTTCCTTTTCGAGGTAGTGAAGACAGTGCTGGCTAAGCACGCGCTCTACCACTGACTCCTTGTCACTCTGAAAGGCTCAGCAGCGCCTTCTGATGTTTGCACAGCACAACTGCAGCCTCAGTTTATAGAACTGTACAAAATCAGTGTATTACAAATTGTATGTATTAAGTCATCAAGCATATGTCAAGTAAATGAGCTAGCCAGAAAGTAGCACAACTGCCAAATATTGGAAATGCTGTGTAATGTAAGGGTCTAGACTCTAGGGCAAAGACAGTAAGTGAAATTGGTGTTGTGGGGAAAGGCCACATCATGATCATGGGCTGGCTCTAGTAATTTAGACATGTAATAAGATGACATTAACAGAGTGGTTTCAAGCTCGAAAAATGGCTCAGAGGTTAAGAGCCCTGGCTGTTCTTCCAGAGGTTCGGAGTTCAATTCCCAGCATCCACGTGGTGGCTCACAGCCATCTAGAATGAGATCTGGTGTCATCTTCTGGTGTGCAGCTATACATGCAGGCAGAACACTGTACACACAATAAGTAAATAAATCTTAATAGAGAGAGAGAGAGATGGTTCTGTCTTGTGTCTAAATTTTTTAACTTCAGTATTGATGTAGGAAATCAAGGATTATAAAGTATGAGGTAATGCTTTACGTTTTAAAATTACATTTATTTATTTTTATACATACACACACACACACCATGGCGCTCGTGTGGAGCCAGAGGACAACATACTAGAGTTGGTTTTCTCCTGCCATGTGAGTGCCAGGGATTGAACTCATGTCTCAAGCCTGTTGGCAAGTACCTTTACTCTCTCAGAGCTCAGCAGCCCCCAGGTACTGTTTTCAGCCATGTGTGTATTGTTAGGACTCCACCGGCAGTCATCTACAGGCTGGGCAGCAGGCCCCGTACTAGCTTTACCAGAGTCTGCCCGTGTCTCGGGTGATGGTTTCTGCACCCAGCCACCAAGCACAGGGCTACTGGCCACACTGTATCCCGCAGTGCCCAGCCCTGCTACCTGGACTCCTCACGTGTCTGCGGGCCTTCTCATCTTCAACAGCTTCCTGGAGCTGTCCTTTGCCCTCGGCATGTGGATCCTTGGTTTCCTGGCTTGTGACTGATCCTCGTTCACAGGTGCCTAGGATAGCTCAGTCTCAAACAATCTCAGGATGGTTCCGGCTACGGTTTCTGAGGCTTGGTGTTACAGTGTGCTCTGGTGCTTTGTATTCAGATGTTAATTGCTCTCCCCCCAGATTCTTACTGTTCTATGACCAAACCGTCACATATACTAAAATGGATGTTTGTGTACCCTTCCCTACAAGTTATCCCTGATTGGCTAAATAAATGCCTTCACCTGGGCGGGCAGAATTGAGGTAGGTGGAACTAAGGTTTGTGGGCTTGGAAGACAGAGGCTCATGGAAAAGAGAAGGCGAGAGGAGGAGGAGAGAGAAGAAAAAACAGAGATTGCCATGGGTTAGCGTAAAGAAAAACCAAGTGGCCAGGAGGAATTTACTCTGAGGATTGGCATGGCTGGAGAGAAGCCACCCAGGTGAGAGGCATGTGCAAATGTTGGTTAGATGGAAAGTAGCCCAGATAATGATGATTAGAGCAGATGGCATGGGATGTGGGGCCAGGAGATAACCAGTTAGTTTGGGGGTTAGTATCCGCCCAGCCCCAGGTGAAATAAGGCTTATGAAAAGTCTGTCAGATGTCTGTGGGTTTTGCTGATATTGTAGCAGGTTAATAATAACCGCCACAAAAATTATAGGCTATTGATAGCAAATATTAATAGTCTTTTTTTTAGTTCTACAATAGCTTGGGGAGGGACAAAGTGGCCAGGTCTCCTCTACTGACTGCTGACCCATGCAGAGGAGTCTTGGACTCATGAAAACCCCGAAGTGGACTCACGATTTGACCTTGGGTTGAATCCATAGTCTTTTTTTTTTTTTTTTTTTTAAATCAGGAATTGCTTCTGTGTCCCTTCCTTCTTAGGAGGCGGTGGCTGGAGCTGTGACTCCTTTCCTCTTCTGCTTCTCATGCCCTCCAGCTGTCCTTGCTCTCGTCCCCTTTATTTTTAATGCTCTTTCAGTCTCTGTCCGAAGTTGTCCATTCTCTGACTTCTCTCGTTCACCGCACCACATGCAGCTGCTCCTAGCCAGGAAGATCACTGCAGTTTTAAAGCCTCTGCCCCACCTTTGAGTGATCATGAAGTTACAGTCCAAAGAGGAAAAATATTTGTCACCTTTGTAAATAACCTCCCCGACAAGCACAGTGTTTCAGTGTATCGTGGACTGATGACGAATAAGATGGTGAATGTGGCGGAATGCCATCCTGACACGAGCTAGGCAGGCACTCCACTGCTGTAGCCTTCTCCTAGTGTCTTTGGTCCTGCCGTGTTGGAGGTCGTACCCAACCTTGCTCATATAGGCACGTGCTCTCCTTACCAGGGGACATCACCAACCCTTGCTGCTGGATGCATTTTTATTTGTTTAAGACAAAGTCTTGCTATGTAGCCCAGGCTGACCTTGGATCGCAATCCCCTTAGCTCGTCCTACAGAGGGCTGGGACTAAGTCGGGTTGTGCCCACACTAGACTCCAGACGAACAATTTTAAAAGAATATTGGTATTTGGGGGAAAATACATTATGTGTATGGCTGTTTTACCTCTGTGTGTGTGTGTGCATGTGTGTGTATGTTACAGATGGTTGTGAGCTACCATGTGAATGTTGGGAACCTATTTTGTTACTCTGGACCAGCAGGTGCCCTTAACCACTGAGCCATCCTCCAGCCCCAGAGGATGTTTCATTCACACTTCCTGTACTGATGAACCACAGCTCCCGTTAGGAGTTGGCTTTCCTTCAGATAACTTAAGCAGTGAATACTGTAGCTGGAGAGGTTTTAGCCACTCTTCTGCCGAATTACAGAGATACTGTAAAGTTGTGGGTATGAAGCAAAAGTTTTCCTTTGTTTCAGAGTAAGGTAAACACAATTTTGTTCATTGTATAGATCCAAAGGAAATAAAAACCTTCTTGACATTCTAAGTAGTTATGTTCCTGTGAATCATGCTGCTGAATAAAAAGTACATCAGGAATAACCTTTCATAAATGAAAATGCTGCAGGATATTTTACTAAGAGAGTTTTAGGTCCAGTCACTCGGGACTTGGCCCTGATGTCTGTCTTATTCCTAGGAGCTCTGCCAGTGCCGGCCTGGAGAAGGAAACTGCCCCTGCTGTAAGGAGTGCATGCTGTGCCTCGGGGCCCTGTGGGACGAGTGTTGCGATTGTGTCGGTGAGTTGGTAGGCCAGTGCGTCTTTGTGACGTCCTCTTTTTAAATCACAGAATACTTGACTTTAAATGAATGTGTGTCTCAGTTAGGAGTATCATTGCTGGCATGTAGTGCCATGAGCAGAGTAACTAGGAGAGAAAAGGGTTTATTTATTTGGCTTATTCCTCTACATCAGGGGTTCATCACTGAAGGAAGTCAGGACAGGAACTCAAGCAGGGCAGGGACCTGGAGGCAGGAGCTGATGCCGAGGCCATGGAGGGGTGCTGCTTCCTGCCTTGCTCCCCATGGCTTGCTCAGCCTGCTTTCTTATAGAACCCAGGACCACCAGGCCGTGGATGGCACCACCCATGATGGGCTGGGCCCTCCCACATCAATCATCGATTAAGAAAATGCCCTACAGCCCGATCTCATGGACGTATTTTCTCAACTGAGGACCTCTCCTCTCTGAGGACTCTAGCTTGTGTCAAGTTCACATAAAACTAGCCAGAACAATGTGTACCATAATATGCAAATAAGCACTGCATAAAATAAGTATGCAGAGAATTATAGTATACTACTTGTATAGGATCATGTAAAAATAGAAAAAAATCAGGAAGGAAATACAGGAGCGAGGAATCAATGGAGTTTTGTGGGGGTTTTTGTTTGTTTGTTTGTTTTGTTTTTTTAGTTTTTAATCCTATTTGTTTACCTGTTTGGGAGCCTGTGGAGGCCAGAGGAAGGTGTTGGGTCCTGTGGACCTGCAGGCACAGATGGTTGTGAGACTGTGCAGGTGATAGGACTGCACCTGCGTCTCCTACACTTAACCACTGAGCCACTTCTCGTTGCCCCTGCAGTGGAGGAGTTTTGTTTTGAAATCTTTTTTGCCATCTGATTTTGAAATGAGAAGTGTTTCCTTTTGTATTTTTTAATAAGCATGATTTTCTAAGAAACATCTGAGACTTGCATGTTAAGTTAATAAAAAACATGCACAAGAATGTTTATAAGAATACTGTCATTTGTATCTTAGAAAACTGTGTGCCAAAGTGAGTGTGAAAGTGTGTGCTTGTAATCTAGTACTGGTGAGGCTAAGGCAAGAAGATATGAACTCAAGGCCAATCTAGACAACATGGCAAAACCCAGTCACAGAAACAAAACAGACAAAAACCACTGTGCACTCACAGTATAACATTTTAAATTCAGTTTATCTTTTTACTTTCTAGATAAACCCTAATGCTCTCTTTTGTTTGAATTGAGCCACAGTCTGAGCCACTCTAAAACTTCCAGGGGCTGCCTGGAAGATTCAGGCTCAGGAGCTTTATCAACTGACAGATCCAAGCCTTCCCAGGATAAACTCTGGATACTTCAGTCCTGATTATATAGTGGAGATGGTTGAAGATACTGTTCTTGCAGGCAGCAGCCTTCCGTTGGGTCCATTACAGACCTTTGCAGTCCTGTGGTTGCCCTCCCTTTTAGGCTGAACCTGTTCCCATACTTTTGGTGGGGTATGTTTTTATAATAAAAAATGAAAATCCCAATCATTCTATTTTACCAATAAAGACTCAGGAGCCAAATAGCTGGCATGAAAATCTGCTAGCTCAGACAAGCAGAGATAACACCCAGCTGACCTTCCTTCTCAGCTCATGTCCAGAAAAAACCCAAAAGGCTCATTAGCTCAACTGACAGCCCAAGAAGAAAAGGCCAAAAAAACTCACAGCCTAAGCCAAAGAGCAAAAGAGCCCAAAACCAAAAAGTGAGGGAGCTGAGGAGCTGAAGCCAGAGCTTGAGCTGTAAAGCCTTTTCTTCACCCCTCAACTCAAAGTCCCTCCTACTCTTCAATCCCTGTCAGCTGGTTTCTTGCTCTTGACCTAGGGTTAACTTTATTAAATCTGGTGTACAGAAAGCTCTTGGATTAAAGGTGTGTGTTAGGGCTGGCTGAACCACACCATAATCACCTGTTTATAACAAACAGAAAGTTTTTGGATTAAAGGTATGTGATAGGGCTCAACCACACCAAACAAAAATCAGGGTTTTACAGTTCACAATTTTTGGGGTTTATGATGGGATCAAACACCCTGCAAACAGGGGTCTAACCTCTGAGACCACTAGAGTTAGAACTCAGCCTTTTTCTTCTGTTTCAGTTGTGTGTGCCTTCATACATACCGTCTAACAAGCTTTCTTCTCCAACTCCCTTCAATAAGAGTTTCTCAGAAGCCAGGCCGGGTGGCAAAGGCCTGTAATCCCAGCTCCTTAGGAGGCAGGAGGATCACAACTCCATTTTGATATGTTAGTAGCCTTCACGGCCACAGTCTGGGTTTCTGAAATCTAATATTATCCAAAAAAAAAAAAAAAAAAAAAAAAAAAGAGGCAGAGTGAGCTAACTGGTGATGTTGTGAGAGTTTAAATCCCCAGTGGCGCCTCCTCCAACACGGCCACGCCTCCTAGTCCTTCCTGTCTTGGTTAGGGTTTCTATGTGAAAAAAACACTATGACCACAGCAACTGTTTTTTTTAAATAATTTATTTAATTTTATTGTATGTGCATTAGTGTGAAGATGTCAGATCCCATGCAAACAGCATTACAGACAGTTGTGAGCTGCCATGTGGGTATTGGGAATTGAACCCGGGTCCTTTGGAAGAGCTTATACAGTGCTTTTAACCACTGAGCCATCTCACCAGCCCCACAGCAACCATTGTAAGCGAGAACATTAACTTAGAGTTAACTCACAGCTCAGAGGTTAAGTCCATTACCATCATGGCAGGAAACATGGCAGCATGCAAGCAGATCTGGAGAAGGAGCCAATAATTCTATACCTTGATCTGTAGGCGGCAGAAGTGAAAGTGACACTAGGCCTAACTCAAACATCTGAGACCTCAAAGCCTACAGTGACACACTTCCTCCAACAAGGCCTCACTCCTAAAGTGCCACTCTCTCTAGGCCAAGCATTTAAACCCCCGAGTCTAGGAGGGCATACCTGTTCAAACCATCACACCTCCCAAACAGCCGCACCGTCTGGAGAGCAGACATTCAAGCATGGGAGCCAGTGGGGGCCATCCTCCTTAAAACACACACAGAGAGAGGAGATGCTGTGTTGACAGCCGTTACATTGCTAAATAAAAAAGTAAATCTCCATTGTTAAGCCCTTTCCATAAATTATTTCCTTTAATTTTATAGTAAACCTGTAGCGTATGGGAAGGTTATTAACTGATTTTGTCCGGATTAACTGTAACAGAATGAGGAAAGAGGATGTTAACCTAAGACTCAAGTGTGTTAGGAAACTGAGATAGTTAAGTTTGAGGTACGACAAAGGTTTTTGTTTTTTAATTTTTATTTTATTCTAGGTGTATGGTGGATGTTTTGCCTACATGTGCGTGTTGCCACGTGTGTACCTGGTGCCCACAGAGGTTGGGAGAGGGTATTGGTTACCTGGGACAGGAGTTAACAGGTGGTTATGAACTGCCATGTGGGTGCTAGGAATCAAACTCAAACTCGGGTCCATTGCAAAAGCAGCTAGTGCTCTTAACCACTGAGCCATGTCTCCTGTCCTTCTCACCTGTTTGTTGTAATGCTCTCCATAGTGATTTTATTTGAATTATTGAGGTTTTCATTTCCAACATTTGCTGGGTTTGTTTTAGATTTTGAAAATCTCCATTCTCGCTGCTGCTCTCCCATATGCTGCTTTTGCGCAGCCTTGTGACCTGCCGTCACTCATGGCTGGTTCAGATTCCTGCTTGGGAGCGCTGATTGTTTGGGATCACTGATCATTTTTAGAAGCGGACTTTTTGGTTCCTTGTCTCTTTGGAGTCTTGTGTGGAGCAGGTGTGGCCCTGCGGCACACGCACGCTGCCTGCTTCTCATGCTCCCGTGCTCTGCGTGGTGGCCTGTGTCTCTGCATCCTTTCCCTGGGTTGCTTCTCATGAGCAGCCGCTCCTTCCCACACTGGGTAGCAGACATGCAGCTCTCCACTGTCCCTTACTGCCCTGTGTCAGGTCTCTGCTGTGCTGGGTAGTTGTCTTGTCACCAGTGTGGGTCCTGCTTCTTTTTTCCCTTCTCTTCCCAGAATAACACCCGTCTTCTGTCATCCTGTCTCTTCCTTCGTAGTGTTTCCGAGAGGCAGCTTCTGTGCTCCATCTTAAGGCACAGTTCCTCCCCATGTGCTGGCTTTAATGCACTACTGTGTGAATGACAAGCCTTTTTTGTCCTAAGTTTGTAAATGCACAAAACTGAATTTTTCTGTACTGTAATGAACTTTCATTAGTACTACCTTTGAACTCACAGGCATTCACCCTTTCATCTCTGGTTCCATTTATCATAGAACCTGGCAGAGGATGTATCGTGACTGTTGTACAACAGTCTATTAAACTGTACCTGCTGTTCACTGCACTTGAGGCTTGCCGTTAGCACCTGGCTACTGTAACGGCGACCATGAAAGCAGGTTGAGTCATGGTTATGGCCCTGTTCCTAGATTATGATGTAGAAGACAAGACATTTACTTTATTGGAGCTATTTTCTTACCTGTGAGCGAAGTGTTTACACCTGATCATTTAAGCATGATTCTGCCCTACAGTCTAAATTGTTAAGTTCAGATACCTTAAATTTTATGAGATACACAATATTATTTGACTCAACTCTTGCCAAACTCTTTAAGAAAATGTTAAAAGAAGAAGAAAAAGATGAAGAGATATTTTTCTCATCCCTGAATATATAAAATTTAAGAATTTGTAAATTTTGTCTCAACTTTTCAAACTTTTATTCCAGGGAAGACAAGAAGCTCCATCTGAGACCTAATAGATATCAAGCAAAAGGTGAAACATAATTTTGACTTTAAAGTGCAATATTCAGGGAGTGCCTGCCTGGTATACACAAGGTCACAGGCTTAACCCTAGCGGCACATAAAACCGGATGTTGTCATACACAGCTGTAGAGGGATTGGGCGTTCAAGGTCATCCCCAGTGGTATGGTTTGAATGTGAAATGTCCCGCGTTGCCCATGTGTTTCAATACTTGGTCCCCAGCTGATGGTGCTGTTTGGAAAGGAACCTTTAGGAGGTGGAGTCTTGCTGGAAAAGTAGGGCACTGGGACAAGCCCTGACGTGTATAGCCTGTCCCATACGTCCTGGTCACACTCTGTATCCAGCTGTGGAGGTGCCCACCAGCCTGGGGTGCAGGTGTGCATCACACGCCTGGTTATACGCTGGTGGGGTTGGGCTGAGGGCTGGCATAGCCTCCAGCAACAGCAGCATCCCCAGCCCTGCTGCCCACACTGCTGACTCAGTCACTGACTGACATTCCAGGCTTCACATTGCCTCATGTGACACGTGTGTGTGTGTGCGTGTGTGCGTGTGCATGCACATATTCCTGGCTCACTGAAGCCTTAGAATCACTTCTGTGGCGTCCTGTTTCCTGTTAGCGGAGGGTAGTTTGGAAGTCGGTTTGCTCAGTGGATGGTTCTCTCCTGTTTGCTCTTTTCAGGGGGAAAGGGCTGGGAAAGCATCAATATGCCACACCAGAAAGCACAGTGTTAGCACACAAATTTTTCATTCCAGGGAATTAGCCAAATCCTGAAATGTCATAATCAGTGAGGAAGTAGCCTTTTCTCCCCTTTGACCCCCCAGGTATGTGTAACCCTCGCAATTACAGCGACACACCACCCACTTCGAAGAGCACAGTGGAGGAGCTGCATGAGCCCATCCCATCCCTGTTCCGGGCACTCACCGAGGGAGACACCCAGCTCAACTGGAACATCGTCTCCTTCCCTGTGGCAGAGGAGCTTTCGCACCACGAGAACCTGGTTTCATTTCTAGAAACTGTGAACCAGCCGCACCACCAAAATGTGTCTGTTCCCAGCAACAACGTCCACACCCCTTATCCCAGCGACAAAGGTACCTGTCCACCCCGGCCTGTCAGATGAGAAATGTCTAGTTCTCTGTTCTTCTTACTCAGACCTTAGCTGTTTCTATTACCTGGCATCTGTGCTTGGTGTCAGGTGACTCTCATGGTGCCCATGAAGTTAAGTGTTTGCAACTGATGCCAAGGTCATCAGTTAACTTATTTTTATCTTGTACATCGAAAACTTTTATAGTATATATATATTGATTCCTTGGTTTTGCTCAGAGGTTACTTAAATTCATAACAGCGTTGGCAGGAAAACAGTTTTTGGAAACAGAAAACAGCTCAGTTTCTTCTTCCTTCTCCTGGCATTTAAAGACTGCTCAATTTGCGGTTTGTTTTTAACTGATGGGTTTACTGTTTTCTACCCAGCTCTTTGGACTCTCTGATTACTCTTGAGTCTGTAATGGCTAGCCCACGGTAGGCATCTAATAAGTACATATTGAATAAGTTAGATGAAATGAATTTAGTAGGTTTGAGTCCTAAGTGACTCGCTTGTGACCAGGCCTCTGACCTGACTGCTCTGGTGCTTTACCACGCCCCAGGCACCTCTTCTTTTTTTTTTTTTTTTTTTTTTCCAAGTTTTATTTATTTATTATGTATTCAGTGTTCTGTCTGCATGTACACCTGTAGGCCAGAAGAGGGCGCCAGATCTCATTATAGATGGTTATGAGCCACCATGTGGTCGCTGGGAATTGAACTCAGAACCTCTGGAAGAGCAGCCAGTGCCCTTAACCTCATCTCTCCAGCTCCTCCCACCTCCCAGGTTCCTCATTTCTAAAGAACAAGACTTGCTGGTTCTTACTGTGTGTGTGTGTGGTAAGGGTCCACGCTGTGCCTGGGCCCTTGTCCTATTCCTAAGGATACTATACTCATCTCCAAGGCTTTCTCTTTTGGTGCCTGGAAGCTTTGCTTTCTATTCCCTTTACACAACATTTTCTACTAAGCCTTTCCTCTATTCACTGGTTCTCTAAGGGCCCTATAGAAATAACTTAGTCCACACAAGCTGCAGTGTGCGAGTAACTCCAGGATCAGCTGCCGCATAAGCAAGAGACCGTGTCTCCAGAAGCAGCAACACATGCCCTCCCTCCTCAGGGAAACCTTCACCGCTGACCCTACACTCTCTGATAGAGACCTACTGTCTTTGGTTTGTTGCACGCTAGGTCTTAACTAGGCAGCCATATGGGTTAGCAACCTGCAGAGTTAAAAATGTGCCCGTCCTGTTAGCAGACCCAGAAAATGATCAGGAACATCTTTTTGCTAGTGTGCGCTGCCAACCACTTCGAATCGCTTGGATTGCCTGCTTTACTACAAATTCTCAGTGTGACGTTAGGAAAGTCTGCTTCACTCTTCTTTGGGCTGGGGAATTATGTCTTTGAAGAATGTCAGTTTAGGAGACAGCCATGTTGCTTCGTGAAGGCTTGTTACTCCAGATAATCGAACCTTCATGCCTCTGCCACCTTCGTCCATAGTGAAGATCTGTCAACACAGTCAGCAAATGAAGATCTTTTTTTCCTGTGCTGATCAGCAGTGGGAAAATAAGAAAATAACTGCTAGTATTATTTAACTGAGGGGCAGAACTCTTCTTTTTGTGCTGAGATCTTCTCCTTTTTTTCAGAGCACATGTGCACTGTGGTTTATTTTGATGACTGCATGTCCATACACCAGTGTAAAATATCCTGTGAGTCCATGGGAGCATCCAAATATCGCTGGTTTCATAATGCCTGCTGTGAGTGCATCGGCCCGGAGTGCATCGACTATGGGAGCAAAACTGTCAAGTGTATGAACTGCATGTTTTAAAGAAGGAGAAGAAATGCGAACCAAAGCAAGTTACTAGTTAATAGGAGGTCATGAGCATTAGTAAGCCATGAAGTGTACAGAAGTCATGCTAGGGACATGTTAAATTATACTCTATAACTGTGCTTTCTGTTTGTTGCCTATTAGCATATGTCTTTTCCGTTAGATACGGTAGAACTTTAGTCATATGAAAATCGGTTCAGAGGAGTCCTAGAAAGCTCTGAAGTTCTGACAGAAGGTGCTGTCTTCTCTCAGCATTCCAAAAGCTTTTTGTTTGAAAGTGATAGCCCCAGACTGTCACTTGTGGCTTTTCACCGCCTAGGACACCAGGTGGCTATAATAGCGATGCCTTTCGTAACGGCACCTTGGGTTGATTATCTGTTCTCTATAAATAGAGTAAATATTGCAGTTTATGTTCTGACAACTCACATTCAAGCCACTGTAAAAGCTTAATTTCAAGGCATTTTACATTGGTTTTAGAAAGTAAATCTTTATTCTATTTTACAAAAGAAAACCTTTACCTAGAACCAGCAGGCCAGCTCGGTAGATAAAGGTGCTTGCGACCAAGCCTGGTGACCTGAGTTTAATCCCCAGACTATAGGGAAGAACCAGCTCCTGCAGGTTGTCCTCTGACCTCCATGCACACAAAGAAGTCAGTGTTTAAAGAAACTTTAAAACCTCTTCATGGTGAAATCTGTCCTCTCGCACCCTTGCTGACAGTGATTCAGGCGTTACCTTCCACTCCTCCACCCACAGTGCTGATGCTGTAGGGATATGGAGATGTGCAGAGTCATCACTGTTCCTCAGTGTACCTGGTGTACACACCCCCACCAGGAGGTGCACGGCACACCTTTGACACTCCATCAGATGCACTGGGAGGGTCTGGGGAAAGAGCGGCAGGGCTGCTGCCAGGCCAGGCTGCCACCACGCCAGGCCCCACAGAGCACCAGGTGGTGGCTGTGCTTTTCCAGGTGCACAGCACAGCCCTGAAGAAGTGCCAGGCTCTCCAGCATGTGTGTGATTGGAGAGGGCTGAGGAAGAGCTCACAGAGTGAACGGAGAAGGGTGAAAATGTTGGGCGCTCTTAGCAGGATCCGTTTATGCTCACTATTTTTGTTACTTTGTAATACTGCATTTGTTTCTGGATATCTGAATCTAACATTCTTATTAAATAAGTATCCTATTTTGGGAAGCTGTGTTTCTGAAATTGGAGGGGAAACCTGTTTAATATGTTTACTCCTAGCACACTACAGAATTATCTAGTTAGCTTCTTACATAGTGTTTCCACGGAGACAAGCTTAAACACTATTTGTGCTTCGCAGTAACAGGATCCTCACCTTCAAGCATGGACCTAAAACAAATATTTATAATATGCTGACTCAATTTTATAAATTGCTATTTTCTCTAGTGCACATTTGAATTAAAAGTAACTTTTTAGAAATACTCTATATGTCTACATATTTTAGTGCATAAAATAGAATATGCTCTTAAACACATTTTGTTTTCTTATTTAAATAGTAGTTACAAGATCATTTGTGATAAAATGGCTATCCATTATAAAATCCGTGCTCTTTCTGATAGCTGACGAATACTCTAGGTACTACGGCCTTCGCAGAGGCTGACTTCGAGCATGGATGTATTTGATTGTTGAACAACAAGGTATCCTCTCTTATTTTCATAGTGCCTCTCTTTCAAAGTGCCTTGGAAACATTTCAGCTTCCTTCTTAGCCCCCACATGGCTGCAGGTTTTCTTGAAATCAGGAGGGAGTTTGGAAAGACTGCAGCTAGCTGCTCCATTTTAGCTTGCTAATTTTCAAGAAATTTCATACCTATGAATGGAAGAATGCTTTGATGGTTTCTGGAAGTATGTCTCATGTTTTCTTTTTATTTGTTTGTTGTTGTTGTTGCTGTCATTGTATTGTTTGGTTTTATTTTGTTTTGAGACAGGCCTGGCCACCCTGAAATTTGCAGAGCAGGATGACTAGCCTCACTCATGTTTTCTTAGTGATGGCCATAATCATTGTTAAAATATGTCATCATCTTTTTAAGCTTTCATTATTAAAATTTTAAATGTAGTGTGTATTTTTTATCCTATACATTTCTTTATGGATAATTTCTTAAACTGTTTGCTCTGGGGTTTTTTGTTTGTTTGTTTGTTTTTTGCTCTGTTTTTCCCATTAGAAATTATCCCCACTTAGATGAATTTTGTATTCATATTTTGTGTATTTCTGCCAAGGCCTTGAGGAGGAAGCAGCATTCACCTGCTGGGTTTTACTCTCAGAGCTAGGGGTTCTGTGCACACTTGTGGTCCCAGTACTTGAGAGGCTGAACAAGGAGGTTACAGGAGCAAGACCAGCCTAAAATACATAGCAAGACACTGCCTCAAAAAAGAAAAAAAGAAAATCCCTTTTTAGTCCTGTACTCAATATTTTGAGTAGTGGTTTTGGTTTTTGTTTTTCTAAACTGAAATTAAACATTTAAGAAGTTAGTAGCCTCACTAAATTTAGACCTTCTGTACCATTCTAGCATACTTACTCCCTTACTGAAGATTTTGTAATAGTTTATGGTTTCTATTTAAAAAAATGATAAGGGAGGGGGCTACAGCTGGGATAAAAAATGAATAAACTGTAATTAATACAAAAAATAAAGATTTCATTAAAAAAATAATGTTGTCCTAATAGCCAGGTCAAAACCCACTAGATTTTAAGGGCTGAGGCTGGGGCCTGCTGCTGGAGCTGTGCTGTCAGAAGCACAGCCCAGGTTTCACCCTGAGTACCAACAGGAGGCAAGCACTAGACTCTGAATCAGAGGGCATCATTAAATTCATGTGCACACTTTCCTGTAGCAGAGTGTGGGCTTGTGAGCAGCTTGTCCTCTCATTTTCTCCATAACATCTAATCAGGACTGTAGGGATATCCGTAATGAAAGCACAAAAGCGAACAGGGATTGGAGTAAAATGTAGTGTTTGTTTACACAGGATGTTATGAAAGGGTTCTTCACACCAAAGTGTAACTTTAAAGTTTCAGAAAATAACATTGTCATTAGCATATTTGAACAAGTATTTGTAAATCAACACAGCATCAAAATAGAGAAAAGAAACTAATGCGTCTCTGGAAAATGATGTGCTGAGAATTGACCACAGTTTAAAGGTTTATACTTGGAAAGAGTCTCTAAAGACTTTAAATACCTTTGTACATTCCCAAGACTCTATGTTTATTGCATTTAACATGACCTACAATATACATAATTGTGTATCTTTGTTGGTTGTCTCTGTAATCAAAAAAGTATTTTAATAAAAAATAGAAATGAATGTGAGTCATGTTTTTTATTAATTTCAGCAGAGAATGCTGAATACGCCGTTCTGTCTAGTGACATTAACATTCTTCCTTTGCTGGATGTCCCCACAGAGTCCCCTGGACCAGCCCGCATAATTGAAACAATGCCTCAGCATTCCGCTTCTGCAGGGTCACGATGCCAGCTGCTTGACAAGAGTGACCCAGCACACCGCTGCGCATCAGGCCATGCGCCACAGGCACCCAGGACACATTTGTAGGTGCTGATGTCATATTGCAATGTCAAAGGCTGGGCGATCCTGATAGGGTTGGAAAGAGGAAGGAGACGGAGGAAGCTGGCTGTCCCAGCGTTCCCACACAGTGCTCACAGGTCAGGGTGACTGTGAGAACGGGGAACGAGAGGCTGTGCTGTCATAGTGTAACTGTACTATTGCTGGGAAGGGCAGCTTACAAAGGAGGCACTTAATGGAAGGCTTGCGGTACAGGTTACGCAGAGGTCAGCCCATGCTCACTGTGAGGAGAATCGTGGCAGTAGGTAGGCAGGCATGGCGCTGGCGCGGTAGCCGAGCGTTGATTCACAGGCCAGTGTAATATGCCCTCAGACCTTTGCACAACTGACGCCATGACAGGAGCACCATTCAGGCCTTGCCAGCCAGCACATGGGCAGCACCGCCTGCCGGGACCAGAGCGAAGGCTGAGTCAGCAGCCCCAGGATGTGGCTCGGAAAGCCAGCATTCATTCTCCTGCCGTGCTTACCTGCTGTGCCACAGGGCCTCGGAAATGAGCCCCCGCCCCCGCACTGCTGCGAGGCGCTGCCCCCTGACCACCGCTCCACTCTGCGCTCCAGTGCCTCCACGTGACACGCAGAGCTTGTCTTCTGAGCACAGCTCACATGATGTGTGTTCCCTTGCACCCATGGACCCGCAGAATCTGCTTCCTGCCATGGCTAAGTAACAGTGAGTATGCCTGCCCTGCCTACATCCATTCACCCGTTGAGCTCTTTGGTGGTGGGAAGCCTGGTAGTCACCTCTGTGACATGGGGTTGGGGGGGCTGGTTAGGAATTGTGGATCTTTAACATTTTGCTTTTGATTTTTCTTAAACAGTAAAAAGTAAATTGATTTTACCCAATGTTAGCCAGAAATCGAGGGGCCATTGTTTTGGCCTAAGCTTCTGCACCAACCAGCAGAGCAAAATAGTCTCTCACACCCCATGCCCCAGGATCAAACTGTAAGGAAGCTGGTGGAACCCCTGAGAGACCAGTTTTTCCAACTGCTTTAATGTTAACCAAAAATAACTAGATGCAACAGGTCGCAGCCGCTCGCTTTTTCCTCCATGCCATTTCCTTATTCTAAATTTACGAAACCCAGTGTTCTGGTGGAAATTCTCTTGATGTCTGGTGGAGGACACGGCCGGGTTGGTAGATCTCAAGTGAAAGCCGTATGACCTGTGACTCAATTTACAGCGTCATCTTTTGACCCGCATTTAATTTTTGAGGCAGTCTGACTTGTCTAGGCTGGTCTTAAATTCCTGGCCTCAAGTGGCACTCTGGCTTCAGCCCTCATGAGTCACTAGGCCCAAAGGTGTGCACCAAGCCTCCAGCTTGAAAAGGAGCCATGTCAGTGTAGAAGTACACAGAGAAAACTTCCTCCCCTGGAGGTGGGGGTTCTCCCACTGGACCCTGGGAAAGTAGACACCCCTGTCTGCTGGCCAGGGAGATTAAAATTCCCTTCATGGATTTCAGAGAGCCACAAAGGTTAGTCACAGCCGCCACTGAGCTCTATGGCAGAATGGTCCTGTGACCTGCCCCTCAGTCTTCCTGTTGCAGCCAGTTCTGACACACCTGTGACAGTGCTGCCTGCAACACACACACACACACACACACACCCAGCTCCAGTAAATAAGGCTTTTGTGCTGCTGTGCCTCAGGCTAGAGGTACCCTGTGGGAAGTCAGAGCAAGGGTGAACAACTGGCCTTTTGTTTCTTAGCTTTTCCTGCCCCTGATTCTCTACTGGAGGGAAGAGAGAACGAGAGCCGGAAAGAGACTTCATCTCCTGGGCCCCATCTCAACATGTTCTCTCCCCAACCCTGACCTGGGGCTCGTAGGGAGGCACTGCCCTCGCTCAGGGAAGTCCGCATCTGGAAATAGCAGCAGCCCAGACTAGTGAATCCCAAGGTAGGCCGCAGAGGCTTCTAGCGGGGGTTGGCAGGAGTGGGGCTCAGTGAGAAAACACTGACATAGGCTGTGTTGCGACCCTAGGTTTATAGAATGGCACCTGTGTCCCCAGTCTCTCCATCTCACACCTGCTAACCTCAGTTCTGCTTCGGTTGTCCCCCAGATTCTGTGGGTCAGGCGTTCGTAGACTGTGGTTCCTTGGTCTGATGGATCTCAAATGCTACCAGTTTAGATAGCAATTCTCTGACCACCATGTCTACACAGCCCTCCTGTGCCCCACTTCTGATGACTCACTACCCGGCTTTAATTCCTTCATACCAGAGTTGCCCTTAAAGGTACCCTCGATGCTTGCTCTTGGGGCCCAAGCGCAAGGGGTTGGATATTGTATCAATGTACCTTCCATAAGTGTTTGTTTGAACTTGGTCCCCAATGTGGCAGGGTTAGGAGGTGGTGGGACCCTTAAGAAGCGAAGCCTGTGGGATGTTATTAGGCCGTGGGCTCCCTTTTCTTGTCAGTGTGACAGAATTCCTAGGAAAGGACTTAAGAGAGGAAGGATTATTTTGGTTCCTGCTTCAGTCCACCATGACAGGGAAGCTGTGGTGGCAGGAAGGTAAGGCAAATAGTTTCATCACTTCTAGTGAGGAAGCTAAAGCCTCAGGCCGCACCCACCCCTCAAAGCTTCGTCTGCCAGCTAGGCTGTATGTCCAGAACTTTCTAGAGCTTCCCTGAGCAGCACTGTGAGCCTGTGGGAGACATTCTGCTTCCAAACCCTCACATGCCTCTCCTTTGACAGTGGGTTAGCTTGTGCTCTCAGGACTGAACTAGAACCCCCAGAATGGGCTGCTACCGAGCAGGGACCCTCCATGCCATGGTCTTTTTGCACACAAACGCCTGGCTCCCTCCTGTTAGGATGAGGCCAGGAGGCCCCTCGCCGGGATGCTGTCACTGTGTTGCGTAAACTCTGTAGCCTCCAGCCTTATAAAAAATACCCAGCCTCAAGAATTCCGTTAGAGCAACGCCAAGCAAACCATCGCAGAGAACTCGTTTCCTTTGTTCAGTGCTGCCTCGAACCTTTCCCCAGAACCCATGTGTCTCCTATGAGGACACAAGCTTTTCAGGATGACCGAACGAGTGGCCAGTCTTATGCAGCGCCTACTTATAGCACTGCCTCCTCTCTGCCTTCAGAAAAGTCCCTGCTCCACTGCAGGCCTCTCAGAAACCTAAAGTCTTGTCCTGCAAGCCCCACTTCATCTGTTCCAGAACTCTGAAGAGGTGACCTAAGCCATAGTCCCATTGCACTGTTGTCTTCCGGGTGCTGCTTATTGATGGCTGATAGGGCTGTAGCTGAACACTAATGTCCGCTGTTCTCAGCAAACCTGAACACAGAGCCCTCATCTCCTACCGTCAGTCATGTCTTCTTTGTTTATGTTTGGCTGTCTGCATGAGTGTGGGTGGCGGCTTAGCAATGGCTACACCCCCCAAAACAGTGACAGCCCCTCCCCCGACAGCCATTAATGGGAAAGTCTCTGGGGGAAGGCTGGGCCCTCGGGGCCCTTGTGAGCTTTTCTCCCACCCGTGATGAGATGATGACGCCCAGCCCAGCCCCGCCATGTGCAGGTAAGCACAGCTGCAGTGAGCTCCTGCGAGCAGCGGCCGTGTGGTCAGGCCCTCACATTCTTTGCAGCCTCTCTTCCAGGATGTCCCCTAAGCTGTGCAGACGTGGCGGAGATGTGTCACTTCTTCCCAGCTTCTGGCCACTTGTAATCTCCATATTATCTACTGTGATGCAGGAGGAAGGTTCTCTGACAGAGACCAGGAGCAGCCCTGACGTATGACCCTAACTGCGGGCATTCAGAAGGCGGTTTGAGCGCATGCCCGTTAGCAAAGCGGTAGTAACCGGCTCCCAAGGGTTTCTGCCCAGCCAAGGACCCTCCACCAGGGTTGCAGTACCATTTGGGAAGGCAGGCTCTCTTCCCTTCCTCCCCCCGCTGTCCATGCGTGCAAAAGGGGCCAGAAGGCACTACTGGGTGCTGCTCTCTTGCTCTCCGCCGTATTTCTAAAGACAGGGTCTCTCACTGAACCTGAAGCTTGCTCATCAGCTGGACCGGCTGGCTGGCCAGCCCCAGGGACCCTTCTGCCCCCACCCCCCACCTCTCCAGGGCTGGGATTATAGGTGCACTGACATGCATTGTCCTTCCTGGACTCCCCCACCCAGAAACTTTCTTAATTGTGCACAGGCTTGGCTGTATGTAGATATGGTTTGGTTATGTTTGCTCAGCATTTTTTTATGTCTGTAACATTTCCCAGCCTGTACTATTAGCCTACTAAAATGCAAGGGACAGCCATCGGAACGTTTACATTTCGCTGTACACACGCGTGCATTAGCCCTGTCAGGGACTGAAAGCAGGGCCCTGGCTTCAGTGCCGATCCTTGTGGTGTAGGTGAGTCCAGAAACAGATCAGTGTGTGCGAGATGTGAAGAATAAGATGAGTGGGTTCTGGTGCCTGGAGAGGACCCTGGAACCAAAGCCCTGTGCATGTCAAAAGCTAACTGTGCTATCCCAGAAGGCAATGCTAGCAGCCTCCAGGGAGAGGAGACGTTGCTGAGGGATGTGAGTAGGAAGCAGGAACCTCATTTCAGGCCTTTGCTCATTTGGATTTGGAGCCGGCATAATGTATTACCTTGCCCAATGCTAACTAAATCTTTCTTAGAAGTTTTTATTTTTTTTTTAAATGTGCCTGCCTGAATTTATGCTTACCACACGCATTCAGGAGCCTATAGAAGGCGGAAGAGGGCTTTGGACCTCCTGGAACTGGAGTTGCCAGCACGTGGGTTCCCAGGTC